TGTCCCATAAATGTACGAGCTTGTGGCTGAGACTGTTTTGCTACCTGGCATCTTTCACAGTTCTGACACCAATGTGCCACTTCTGCGGCCATACCTGGCCAGTAACAGCGTTGGCGTAGGAGTTCTAGTGTTCGCTCCACCCCTTGGTGGCCATGCTCCTGGTGAACTTGTTTTAATGTTTCCCCCCTCAAACATGTTGGCAACACCAACTGTAAAATTAACTCACCACCAGCAGGTTTGAACACTTGCCGGTACAAAACGCCATCCTCCTCCACTAGCTTGTCCCATTGTCTGAGTAGCACCAGAACCTGCTGGGATACCTGCTGCCGTTCGTCTGCAGTTGGACACCGTTTCCGCCTCCAGAAAACCAAGAACTCCTGGATGGTTGGGTCAGCTTGCTGGAAAACACTGATTTCAGAGATGGTATGGTTAGGCAAGGCCATAACAGCCTCTTGAGTAACCTCCCTTTTCTTCCCCTGAAAAACCTCTCTCAAGGGCTCAGGGAGAGCTGTACCAGGAACCATAATTTCCAAATCTTGTACACCAACAGGATGCTGTCTTGATAAAGCATCAGCATTCTTGTTGGCTCTGCCAGAACGATATTTGATTTCAAAGTCAAATAAAGCCAGCTGAGCAGCCCAGCGCTGCTCCGTTGCTCCCAAATTGGCCGAAGCCAAATGACTCAATGGATTATTGTCGGTAAAGACAACACATTTATGGCCCAAAAGGTAATCCCGAAATTTTTCAGTCATAGCCCATTTAAGTGCTAAAAACTCCAACTTCATGGAGCTATAATTCAGCATGTTGCGCTCCGTAGGTCTTAAACCACGGCTTGCATAAGCTATGGGTCTCACCTTGCCTTCTTGTTCCTGTGAGAGCACTGCTCCCAAACCACCATAACTTGCATCTACCTCCAAAATGAAGGGAAGTGAAAAATCTGCGTAACCCAATACTGGTGCAGTTGTTAATCTGGTTTTCAGTTCGTCAAAACTACATTGACAGTCCCCTGTCCAACCAGGTATGATGCTCTGGTCACTCTGCTTCCTTGACCTGGTGCCCCCTAGTTCTGCAACCAACCTGTGAAGAGGGGCAGCTAGCTTTTCAAAGCCCTCCACAAAGCGGCGATAATAGCTAGCAAACCCTA